AGCCAGGCGGCGGTGCACGCGCAGGTGAAGCCGTCCTCGGGTCCGGGTGTGCACGTGCCACCATTGAGGCACGGCTGCCGTGCGGCGCAGACGTCCCGCAGCACGCACTGCGGGTCTTCCTCGGAGCGCGGCGCCCATCCCGGCTTCTCGTCGCAGCCGCACCTGTAGCCGGCGCGCGCGTGCGGGTCGCGGCGGCACGTCCAGCCGTGCGTGCACAGGTCGGCCTGTCGACACGGGTTCCGCGGCGTCTGGCAGCCGCGGCCGCCCCACGCCGGGCCGCAGTGACAGCGGTAGTCGCCGGCCAGGCTCAGACACGTGCCGCCGTGCTGGCACGGCCGGTGCGCGACGCACGGGTCGTGCAGCACGCACGTGGGGTCGACGTCGGAGGCGGGCCGGTAGCCGGGCCTCCTGTCACAGCCGCACGTGTAGCCGGCGGGCGCGACGGCGGCCTCGGAGCATTCCCAGCCGGCGCCGCAGGGGCGGCCGCGGCAGGCGCCGCCGGCCAGCCGCGGCGAGCGCGGCGCCGGCCCGCCGCACGGCCCGTCGACGCACCGGCAGCGCAGCCCCTCCGGCGAGTCGACGCTGCGCTCGCACCGGAGCCCGGCCATGCAGGAGGCACTGTGACACGGGTTCACGGGCTCGTGGCAGGCGGAGCCGCCCCAGGCCGGCCGGCAGCGGCAGTAGCGGAAGCTGCCGACCTGGCCGGGCGGCATGAGCCAGGCGGCGCCAGCCTCGCGGAACAACACAAGGCGGCAAGAAGCCCGGCTGGCCAGCCGCTCCCGGCAGCGCAGCACGTCAGTCGGGCAAGCCACGGCGCGGGTTACCTGCAGCGAGGCGTTGTGGAGGACGTAGAACTGGGCCTTCGGTGTCTTGGGAAACCAATGACTGCAGGAGATCAAGATGCTAAGGAAGATTGCGCCTAATTGAACCCATTTCATGGCGGGTAAAGCATAAACAAAGAAAAAAAGTGAACGTTCATATTGTGCAAACGATATGGTATAAATCAAACGTGATTTGGCGGAGCATGTTTATGAAAGGTTGGAAAAGCATCAGTAGTTACCAGCTGTGAATACTACCTTGAGCACGTGCTTTCTTTAGAAAGCATCCTTCCTGTGTGGTATATATAACAACAGCAAGCTCCTGGGTGACACTGGAAGTGGGCAGTATTGTTCAGCCCATCTGCGCAGAGCATTGTACTTCAGTATTATACATGCCCATTCTCGGATGCATTTCATTCTATGCATTCCAATTTCACCACCACTTTTGGTTGGACGGGACAACATTAAACAGGTAAATAACGCCTTTTAGACGAGAGGTTGAGAGCCCCTGAAGTTTTGCAGACATAACTTAATAATCACCTCACGAACGCTGAAAACTCGCTGAAGCGAAAATCAACGTTGCATGCAAGGTTAATTTTTGTGTGACCAAGTTTTCGGCATTTCTATACATGCTGCAACGTTGGCAGACTCTTTCTTCCATAGGCTGCGAGTAATGACAACATAAAGCAATTTGTGTCCGGGTCATGACTAGTACTTTGCGTCCTTGTGCCTGATAACGCACGATTTCCGTACACGCACTGAGCGTTCTTAAGGATTTGCATGCATTTCTCTGCTGCATCTTATCGTAAGAGATGCTGATATGATTCCATAAATGTCCAATGTAAGACAGAGTCGTACGGTGACATTTTGATCGATAAGATCATTCGTGGTCAAGCCAGGTTAATTCCAACGCCAGGCTTCTCCACCTCCGTCATTCTCCGAAGTAGGAACTGTGTATTAGCCGGCAGCGGAGGCACGCATCCAGCACGTGTGTACTCTGTACCAGAATTCCGCGCTGCTGATCTCAGTCCTCCATCGTCCCGGCTTGACCTATTGCAACCTCCCCGATCATGCCGTGTGTTGCCTGTCCAGGTGAGGAGGATGCCATGTGGGCTCCGACGACGGTGGTGGCTAATGATGCGAAATAGGACGATAACGAGAATGACGGCGGCGGTGAGGCTTGCTAAAAAGGGTGGGATAACACTGAAACGGCTTTGACAAAGCGCTGACGCTGAATCACATGACAAGCTGAGAAGCATGGCACAGAGTCGAGACGACTGCCTCCGGCTATTAAGCCGGCAGATAGTGGAGCTAAGCGAGCGCCACTTCCGGACCCAGGTGCACTCCGAGAGCCAGGCGCCACTGAAGTAGACTGTGTCTGCTGGAAAGGCGATAGTCCATGGTGATTTCGCGCAAAATTTTCATTTGTAGTCGAAAGCGCCGGTGCGGGGTTCCATTAGCATACGACGCGGCGCGCTGTACGCCCGTGGATTGTATAATGACATTAGTGGGGGGGGGGGGGGGGGGGGGGGGGGGCGATCGTGACGCGCCACCAGTGCTGCTGTTGATACCCGGAAGCAGAGGCCACATCACCACGGCGCACACCTCTCTCCACATCGGAGGTTCGGGTCCGCACACCTAGCCTGAAGAAAATATCGATATCGGTGATAGCTGTACGCCACCGGGGGAGGATGCACCCGTTCAGTTGGGAGGGGGATTGGACCGGCTCCCAGGCACCTATGTGTCAGCGGCCGCAAACAGTCTCGCGCAATGTGCCAAAACAGTCTCGCCCAAAACAGCTGCAAACTTAACATTGCACGGCAATGCGTCGCCCAGTGAAACGGTAAGTAGGTCCATGCTGGTAGTTTCTGACTTGGCTTTCATCATTGTTTACCGTCTATCGATCCGTTTGCACCATTGACTACAGGTGAGTGCCGAGGTGTTTTTTTTAGTAAAATCTCACAGCATCTCACTTTATGAAATAACAGCTCTCCAAGTAACCCTTTTACGAGGAGCCTCACCACGAACACCAGCATCATCACCACAGCTAACCTCTGCTTATGATGTTGAGTGGGGCGGGGCGTGGCGTACACGGTGGAGAGAGGTCCGCGCAATAGCAGTAGCAGTGGATGTAGCAGCAGACCGTAGCAGTCGTTAGTAGAGCATGCTGTGTTTGCTCTGCCCGCCGCGACGGAATCGGAGCCGTTCGGGTGGTGGTACCACCAGTGCCTGACCGGATGCCCGCACTGAGCTTATGATCGTGCTTTCTCAGATCGAACTCGCAAGGCAAACATGCGATCCGTCGTTGGTGGTAGTCGTCGATGAGCCTTGGTGGTGGCCGAAGGCTCACTTTGCTGGGTTGGAACGAGATTACTGCGGGATAGAGCCGGCCGAAAGAATGGAGCTGGAAAGCATGCGTAGAAATGTTTAGCTTCCATGATGCTTGTCATGTAAAGCATGGAGGTGTAGCCTGGCGACTATTCCAAACCTTCCTGTTCACCAACTTTTCGTTCTGAGCTATTTTGACCACTGTATAAACAGTCACGTGGTTGACAGGTAACCTGCCTTTTGAATACTAGGGAGTTTTTCAAATTGATATCAAGCATTTAAGACATTCACTTGCGATATTTGGTCGAGGCGAGCAAAGGCAACATAGTGGCTCTTCACTTCGTGCACCGAACACACGAATGCCGTTCAGCATACAGGCACGCTTGAGACGTAAACTTCATGAAATTTACTTGCCGCCAACTATCGGACTGCGCTCAAAGCATCAAGCTTTTTCTGCCTTAAGTGTTTGTTGTGCCCTTTTGAAAGCTTCGTTCCATATATGAAGGGAAGAAACACGCGCGGGAAAGATGAAAGGTCCTCGAAGCTAATGTTAAACCCCACAGGTGCCTCCACATACCATTGAAAACGAAAATCGCATATAACGTGTAACAACAGTTTTAAAATTCCTGTCGTGGCCATCCCAACCAGAAGTCCGGAGCGGTTTAGTGTGATAAGCTGAGCGACCTCTGGCGTAACTCCATGAACAGCACCCGCCTCTCCATCCGCCCCATTTGTTGGCATCATCCACTACAATCTGCGCTAGAGACTGCGACTCTTATAGCCTGAGCAGTAAAAGGCATCGTAAAACAACCCACTCAAACGGAAGCATCACTCATACCACAACGTTATCCAGTGCTGGCGCTGACAGAACATCGCAGCCTTTGCAGAATTACTCTTTTTCGAAGCGTTGCCACAACTGTCGTCCTTGTCTAATAACACGTACGGGAGGGTGCCAGGCGGACGCAGTGAACACGGGACGACCAATGCGCCTGCCCGAAGGCTGACTGACTGGCCGGCAGGTGTCCAGCTGAGCTGATGTCCCAGTCGCGCCCCGGGCGTCATGTGTGCCGCTTCCGGCCACTGACCCTGCCCCGCCAGTGTGCGCAGAAATGGCGTGTGATGGGCGCGATGGAATGGCTGCAGGCCTGCCCGCAGTAATTAAATGGCTGCAGGGCTATCTGCGGAAGGGCGTGATCGGCCAGAAACGGCGCACGGCTGCGACCAACGCCCGCCGACACCGCCCTCCTGCGGGGACCTGCCGCCAGCTAATGGGGCGTGATGCATCAGCTGGCCGGAAATACTCCACACACACACACACACACACACACACACACACACACACACACACACACACACACACACACACACACACACACACACACACACACACACACACACACACACACACACACACACACACACACACACACACACGCACACACGCACGCACGCACGCACGCACGCACGCACGCACGCACGCACGCACGCACGCACGCACGCACGCACGCACACATACCCCGCCGAACCACCGAACAACGCGTGGCTGCGTTGCACAGACCGGTGCTCTGACCAGTTTGCTCTGGTGAGACGACGGCCATGGAGCGCTGCCCTGCTGACACGCTCCTGCTGGCGCACTTGACCCATGACCTGACAACTCGGGTGACCCGGACCCCTGAAGCATGGACGTGCCAGCGGTCGGCGGTGTAGTTGTCGCTGGTCCGGGCTACACTCACCTGTGGAGCAGACGTGAGAGCAGTCGGTGGTGTAGCTGTCGCTGGTCCGGGCTACACTCACCTGTGGGGTAGACGTGAGAGCAGTCGGCGGTGTAGCTGTCACTGGTCCGGCTACACTCACCTGTGGGGTAGACGTGAGAGCAGTCGGCGGTGTAGTTGTTGACGAGATCCAGCTGGGGCAGCTCGATGTTCTCGTCCACCACCAGCGGCGTGTCCTTCTGCCAGACGAACACCAGGTCGTCGGTTGTGTACGATACTGTCGGAGAGATCAAGTCGCGTCAGCACGAGTGAGGGCCGGCCCTAGAGAGCACAAGGTGGTGACTGGTGGTGGCGTGGTGGTGGCGCAACAACATGGTGGTGACTCGTTGACGCCGGGCAAAAGACGAGCGAGGCCGAGGTTGACGGAGGCTGATCTTTTCAGCTTACATGGCATGTAAACCTACTTAGTTATACGGGAAGATCTTGGGTGAATTTATCGTGTGTCGGATGAACTGTTGCCAATAACTAAAAAAGCATGCACGAGACGTAACCAAGAGTAGCCTCGAAGTAAGCTCATGAATGCAACTTCTTGCCCTGCGCGCAGTGGAAACTACATTCGTTTTCCTTTGGTAAGAGCAAGAAGACAACATTTGGCACCCGTAAGTAGCCTAGGCAATTTGTTTTTATGTGTCATAATCGTTGTTCTGTGTGTCTCATGCTAAGTGAGCCCGGCGCCGCCTGGGCTATTTCGCCGACCGTGGTCGTCTGGAGGGAGAAACGCTTCCCAGCGCTACGCATATTAGGCTCTACTCGAAATAGAAAAACTCAGGAGTTAATCGGTACCTCTAAATTATTGTATCCAAAATCATCCAGATGACATTTTTACACGACTGATGATGCCACAGGCTGCGGGTTTTAAAAATCAAGAGGTTACGACGGAATTCAGGGATGTCTGCCGCGCGTTGCAATGGTTGCAATGGTCGCATGAAGCGCTTTACAGCGTCGCTGTACAGCCGATATTTCTTGCATGTTATAAAGACCCGTGATTTTGTCGCGGACAAATGATAGAACGAGCTGTGGTCGATTCTAGTAAAAGTTGGGTTCATTGGATAGCGTTTTTCTGCCGTTCCGTTTCACAGAATCTGTAGTATTGGGTTTGGTAATGTCTGTAGTATTGGGTTTGGCAATGTTTTGCTTAGCTATATTGAATTATTTTTGGCAGATTGGTGGCACCCACTCTGATGGTTAAAAGTTTCTCGGTGAAGAGATCGGGTTAGAGCAAATGCTGGAACTTTAGTGAGCGGAAAACTATACGAATGCATCGCCTGGTGAGGAATAAGTATCTTAACTTAAGGAGCATGTGCCTACGGTCTGCGTTATGTCAAAACGTCCTTCTTGGAGCATCACCTGAGATAAATGTGAGTCATGACACTGGTGACGGTGACCCTGCCTGTGTTTTTTGTTGTTGTTGTTGTTGTCCACCATTGTCTTTGAAATGACTTCCCCATATCCAAACCAATAACAGTTTCAACACAATCCTTTGTTTCAACTCGTATTTACACGTTCGATGTGCATGAAATCTTCGATCGCGTTTTTCAACGTAATTAGCTGACTTAAAATTCAAATTATGACCCAATTTCTCCGAATGTTATGCATCGCTCCAAACCAAGGACGTAAACAAGGTTTCTTGACTTTCAAGCAGCGTCAGGAAATAAACGCCAGCTTTTGGCAGACAAAGCCTGTCCCACTTAGCACACTTTGCGACCCGCTCACGCACACACGCACACACGTTCCCCGCGGTGAGCGAGAACAGGCGGAAAGCTTTGAATGCCGCACCTGAAAATTAATGTCACCCCTTCGTAACTTTGGAACCCCTCTTGCGAGCATCTTGCAGCGCGCCTACCCTGCCCACCGGCACCGGAAGGGGAAAGAGCGACTCCTCAGCGCGACGGCCGGAGCCGGCGTCGCGGCCGGCGCACCGAACTTTTTACCGAAGCCCGAGCGCGAGATCCCCTGCGCCGGCCGACGTGCCCCGGCGTCGGCCGCTAATGATAAATCCATGTGCGGCCAGGGCGGCCCCGACGCCGGCCGGCCGGTAATGGCGCCGCGCCGCCCGATTGTCTCCCCATCTCCCCGGCCCCGGCCCCGGCCCCGGCCCCGGCCCGGCCGCCGATCACGAGCGCCTCCGCCGGCTCCCGGCAGCGGCGCCGGCGGTCCCGCGAACATCGTCTCCAGCTGCGCCAGGAGGGCGAGCGCCGCTGCAGACCGGCGCTGTGGGCGACGGGCGCCGACTGCGCTGGCAGGGACCGCCTCCGACCGCGGGTCCGAAGCTTCGCGGAGGATCTCGTTCTTGCTTGAGAAACGTCTGGCAGACCATGACCCGTTCCCGTTTTGAGCAGGCAGTTCTGGTCCTGTTCAATAGCCGGGTGGCTTGGAAGCCACCCGTGCCTGCGGTCCTTCGCCTATTTGCTGGCTGGAGGTGCAGGCGCTACTGGCGAAAGCCCGCAGGCAGTTTATGTGTGACTACACTGACATTCGCAGACCCGCAGGTCTGCGAATGTCAGTGTATGACCCTCTGTTTATGAGTCATTCCTCAGTGGCAGGGAACCCCCTGCAATCGCGGCAGTGCCTTGCATGACCAGTGCTCTTATTACATTATACGGGCGCTCTGAAAGAATATGATCTTGCTTCGTTTAAGGTCTTTCCGGAAAGAGCGACCGGAGAGTGTCACACTCTCATTTACCTTAAGCGTTCCATGAGACATTTCCATCAGAAGGTCAGAGCATGCGCCTTAAATTCCAACGGTTGACATGATATGGCAGGCATTCGTAGTGCTCATCCCAGTATGTCTCATTAATTCGCAAAGAACCTTCAAATTTTTCCTTCAGTCAAAAACCAGTGATCCTAGGCTACTTTTTGTGATACGCCAAGAAGCCCTGAGTGGGATTATTCTGATGGGTATTCAAAGTGGGTCCATTACAAAAATAAACGTGCCTGAAAGAACAGCCGGTTCAATGCATGGCTTGATGCTTGGCGTATCAAGTTCCTTCTCTGGTTCGTTCAGAATTCTTTGCAATATGCGTCACCATCTTTAAAACCCGTCTGACCTTACCACCACGGCTATAATTTTGGGCACAAAAGCCTTGAAGGCATCTGCCAGTTGTCCCCAACCGGCGGCACCTGCAACCGTCCACGTGCACCTTAGGTGCTTATTGCCGAGTCTTCTCTGTTCAAATGGACCCCCCGGCTCCGGCAGAGACCATATTTACAATTCAGATTCCATATTTACAAGCCAAACCATTTACAAGCCAGAGCTCTTACGGCGTGAAGCGGGCCCTAATGATTGGCAAAGGGACGCCTTCAGGCCTGGTACTGATTCTGCTCTTTAAACAACAGCAGGAACCGGTTGGCCTGGACCACAATCTAGTAAGGATGGGACCGAGATAGATACGGCCGACAGAGCCCCTAAGCCCCCCACCCCCACCCCCACGCCCCTTCCCTTCTGGTCATTACCACCGCACCGGCGTCGGCCGGTGGCCGTAAGCACGTTGGACATAAAGAATGGCCGGCGGCAAGGCCGGGGATAGCGCGCATGTCGAGCAGCCGCTCGGGGAGGCGGCGGAGCGCGAGCGGCGTGCGCCTTGGATGAGCAGCGACAGCCACGACTCGGGCCGCGCAGGGGGCAGCCGGGCGCGCTGCTGGGCACGCCGAGCTGAGCTGGGCCGGACGGGACGGTCAAACGGAGAGGTCAGACAAGGTCAAACTGCATGTCGGTGTACAAAGAAGCCTCAAGACGTCCTCATGCAACATTCTTTACCCTCGAAACTTGTTCTAAGCTAAAAGCCACCGATGTTTGTTCAGATCAGTGACCTTATTCGACCTTCAGAGGACTGCGGTGGGCGAAGCCAAGAAGATTATATTTATTTTGAAGTCTAAATAAGCATGAAGGTTTACGTTAGGCGGTATGTTCCAAAAACAAATACTTAATCTGGATCATTTTAAGTCAGTGACCTCTGACCTCCAGTAAGTCAAACTAAGATATCTGTTGACATCCCTGGGATCAACTTATTCAAAATTAACATAAAACTATCCTGTTAGACAAGATATCCAGGGGAGAAGCAGCTTGGTTTTGACCTCGGTCTGATCTTTATGCCTCACCCAGGTCAATAAAAGTAGACGTTGTCCTAAATTCAATTGGATATCGATTTGCGTAACCTGTTTGGTGGATTTACGAGAAACACTATGCTCATAGATAAGACAGTAGTAATAGCCTTATTCCTCGGAGAAAAACCATGAGAATAGCTTTATAGATGCGTTGATATTTCGGCAACATGCCTTTATCGAAACAAACAGCATATCAGATCTTCTGCTATTTGTTTCGATGGAGGCCTTCTGCGGCAAAATCAACGCATCTATACTTCTATTCTCCTGGTTTTTCTTCGAGGAATAAAGCTACTTCTTTTGTCTCATCTACGGCTAATAACCTAACAAACCGCCTCAGAGAAGCATGGCTTCGTGTAACACTCCATCGTCGCCTCAGATTTAACGATTCCCCAGGAATAGCCTTCGCTGACAGGCAAGGCCTGACTTTGATCTGCCATAGGGTAGAGACCTTGCAAGGTGCACCTAACTTCTCATACCAAAAGATCTGCCATTCCATTGGCTACATACATGCACAGTTTGGTGCGGCTACACCGCGTCGGTCAGGAAATACTCCGGAAAAAACATTCTGGGGTCAACTTGACCCTCCCTCAACCGAGCGTCTGTTAAGTCTGAATTTAAAATAAAGTTATTGTTCAATGATAAAACGAATCAAAACATTCTCACTAAAGGCAAGAACAGCGGTTTTTAAGTACATATCAGGCGCATATCACCAGCCTTTATAGGTTTGTCCGGAATTATTCTCGTCATTGAGAACGCAACATGGAGAGGCCGAACATCAGGAAATAGATCTGAGCAGAGGAGAAAGCCCGGCCGGCAGAGAGCATAGCACCGAGAGATGCGGACGCCGACTGTCGTTGGTGATGAAGGGGAGCAGAAGAGATATCAGGACGGATGATTCTGAAGGCTGTTCGCTGATGGCAGCCAAAAGAGCGATTGACGGGGGCATGATGCTGCGCTGTACGCTGCTTACGTGCTGTTTCGCAGATGGGATCGTGGTGCCACGGTCGGTTGGCAGGGGTCCTACAGCACAGGCTGCTGGATTTTTCTGTCAAGTATATCATTCGTGGACAGTGCAAGATGTCTACACTAGGGGTGTAGTTTCTTATTCAGTTG